CCCCAAAACCCCAAAACCCCATCGGCTTTTATAATGCTAAAGTATCTAATATATTTAATAAATTTACTTTGGATTTATAAAATTTTTAAGATGTAACCTTTTGATTTAAATGAAATGCTTCTTTGTTTTTGTTGCAACAAATTTTATAACTTATAAGAAAGGAAGCCTGTGCAGCTTCCTTGTGGAGATATCTTTTGCCTCCAATGCTATAAAAATTAGAAAGACCAAGTTTAAAATTAATAAATTCAGTGTCCATTTGATGCACAACATCTATGCGGAGTAGATTAATAGACAATCTAGCCAAGATATTTGATGAATGCACTTTAAAAGTATGACTTCTTCTGTATCAAATGTGATGATCATCAACAAGAAAATTCAACAATCTATTGCAAGCAGTAGCAATAAATGGTTTGCGGAAAATGTGTTCTCACTGATCCACATGAGCATTTTGTGAAAGATAGCAGTCAGCATTTTACTTTTGAAAGAATATACATTGAAGAATCCTTTGAGAAGACACTCCCAATCCTTAAAGAAGAGATGACTCAAATTTAATCATTAATAGAAAAGACTTAATAGTTTCTAAATAAAGAGAGAAATTTCAAGGTTTAAGAAATCAAGTAAATGGTCATTAAAAACTCTCATATTATTCAATATTCTGATCTTGACGATGAAATAAAACAATAATTTAGAGATAAGTCGAACATATTGAATCTAATCAGCAATTTTTCGTAATATTATTTTCAAAACAATTATTTTTATAGGTAGAGCTACAAACAAATTATTGCTAATCATGAAAATATTGATTAGATCAATTAAATATAAATTCAAAATTCTCTAAAATTTAACGAATTTAATGCAGGATTAGGATAAATTTAGCTTTAAAATGTACCAGAAATCAAGGTTTAAAATGAGATTGGCTAAAATAAATTCTAGTAAGTAAAAAAATTAAACAAACTAATTAACCAATAAGTTGAGGAATTAAAACACAATGAATAGAGTTAAGAAAATATTAAAAATTAAAGTTTGAATGAAAAAGTTATCAAAGAAGAGTAAAAAAATATGATCAAATAATAGAACCAACCTTTACAAGCAGAGAAATAAAATAAGCAAAGAAAATTTGATCAAAATTAGCAAAACCACATTGTTTTTAAAATACCCGAAAAAATATTCAAATATGAGGAATTCACAACTCTAGTAGAGGAACAATTGTACCATTTAACTAAAAAAACTAATTTCCCAGTTTTTAATAATGAAATTATGAATAGTAAATAATATGTTAAATTGCTATACAAAGCATCTCGAGATGGATACAAAGCTGCAAACTTTCACACTTTCTGTGATAATAAAGGACCTACAATGACATTTATCCTTAATGAGCATGGGTAAGTATTTGGAGGTTACACCTCAGTTTCATGGTAATCCACAAGTTAATGGTGTAATTATACAGACAAAGATGCTTTTCTTTTTCAACTTAATAAGAATACTATCCACTTTTAGTATCAATAATATGAGCATGCAGTAGTTCATTACAAAGATAGATTGATGGTATTTGGTGAGGGTAGAGATATTTGTATCTACGATGATTGCAATATCAACTGTGATAGTTATTGTGATCTTGGAGGCACCTATTCACCTCCGTAAGGAATAATTAAAAATTAATAGTAGGCCTAGACCTATCTTGCTCACACACATAAATTCAGAGTAATTGAAATTGAAGTGTATTCGATTATACTTTGATAAACTTCTTAACTTTATTTACTAATTCATTAAATTATACCGGATTTAGATTTCTACATCAAAATATTTTCATCGATTGCCAAGAGATGGGGTTTTGGGGTTTTGGGGTTTTGGGG